AGAACTGGCAGATTTTTCTAGTGAAGTTTCAAGAAAATTTTCCATAAAGTTAAAGTGACCATTCTACCCCTAATTAGAAAGTAAAGTGGGGAGTGAATTGCAAGAAAATTTCATGGAGAATATTTTAGAATGGGAGTGCAAGTGTAAAGAATTAAAGGATAAAGATGGAACTTTCAAGAAAGTGGAAGGGTAAAATGGGAAAAAAGGCTTAGTTTATAAGATATTAAGGGTTAGTCTTCTATATCTCCTCATTTTCCTCAGTTCCACCGCCTCTTCATTTTCCATTTCCTCCCAACTCTTCACTCAATCTTCCAAGTATTTTTGAGGGCTTTTAGTTGGATCTTGATTGAGAGTTGTTCCTAAGCATCAAGAGGTAAGGATCCATGCTCTAGTATAAATTTAAGTTGAGCAAGTGTTGAGTTCTTATTAAGTTTATGTTTAGGAATCAAGAGAAGAAGCAAGTACAACAAGTTAGAGAGCTTTTGTGGAAGAATTCAAGAAAAAGGTAAGTAAATCCAACCCAAGTTAAGATTTAAGCAATCAAATGACTTGATGTGCATTTATATGACTTGATTTGTATTTATATACTTATAATTGTGAGATTGATTGCTAAGTTTGTAATTGTGGATGAGTTGTTGGGTTGATGAATTAATGGTTGTTTCGAGCCATGAGAAGTAGAGTCAAGGTTGGGATGGCCAATGGAAGTTTGGCTAAATTTGAGAAGAAATTGAGTAGAGATTTTTGAAGTGCCTTCCCTTGACAGGTTTAGAATTATTATGGAGGAGTTTTACTCCATATATGGATGGTCCAAGAAAGAAATAGAACTATAGTTAAAGTAGAGTCTAATTATGCATGCTTATTGTTTGATAAAATGCTTGAGAGAAGCATATGCATGAGTAGAGAACTTATTTTTGTGCAACATTGCATATTTGCATTATATGATTGCACTAAAGAAAGAAACATAAGCATATATCATCCACATGTATATCTTTGCATATGCATGAGTAAGAAAGAATAAAGAATGCTAAGAATAAAGAGAAAGAAAGAAATAGCACTAAAGAATTTAAGAAAGAAAGTGCTAGAGAAAAGGAAAGAATAGGTTGTTGTGATGGGAGAACTCGTGAGTGATAAGAAGAAAGTCCCACATACACGTCACCTTAATTGAGTGGCATAAGAAGAAGAACAAAATCATACGACCCGTAAGAGTGTATGTGGATGAGGGTTGCACCAAGAAGAAAGTCTTACAGTCACGCCACCTTAATTGAGTGGCTTAAGAATAAGAAAGAATTTGTACAGTCCGTAAGAGTGTATGTAGATGAGGACTATACTCACTCACATGGCTAGAGTTCTGAATCCATGCATCAACCAAGTCCGATTGGCATAAGAATAAGAATGAGAAATAATAAGCTAGACTAAGAATGAGAATGAGAAAACTCAAGCATACAAGAAAAGAAAAGAAAAGAAAAGAATAGCTTGAGTAAGAAAAGAAAAAAAGAAAAAACATTTCTATGCATTATTGTGAGTGCATTGCATTCATGCATATTACCATGATGTTCATCATGGTGAGTAAGAATTGAAAGAACAGAAAGAAAAGAAAGAATGAGTAGAAAGAATAGGAAGAATTAGAAAGAAAAGAAAAAGAACAGAAAGAATGAAGAAGAGTAAGATTAGAGTAAGGAAAGAACCAAGAATAAGTTGCAGGGATAAGTAGTAGAGGATTTACTTACTGAGCCTTTTTGTGCTTGCCCCGTTGTTTTTTCCATGTTTTGTAGGAAATAGGTAAGCGGCGGTCGGATGGACGTCACGAAGCGGAGAGAAAAGGCACCACTGTCCCTTGTGTATAAGTCTTGTGTAGACGACTTTTGTATATGTAAAGAAATATTGTGTTTATAAATAAAAGAAAAATTTTGGGCCCAACCATATTTCATATACTATGTATGTGTGTGTTTGAGTATATTGGTAAGTAAAAGAAGGTGTTACAAATACTGGGGCTACAGACATTTCCAAAATTGTCACCATATATGATCATAGGGTCATGACAATCAAGATTTAAAACACTTGATTCCTTCGTCTTGGTTCTACCACTCTAAGGACATATATCAAATCATATAAGGATATGATTTACCTGATATAGAAGAATGCCTTTATTTGATAACCATGATGTTATGAAGAGTCAAATATGATTGGCTATGGGGCACCTACTCTAGCAGAGGAGCCTATGGGTCACACACTTAAAAGGCAATTTAAAGAAGATAATGAGTGAGGGACATTTTCATCATTTACTAACAAAGGGGTATTTTGATAAATCTTACAGAGCAATTAAATTTGCTGGAAAGGTTGTTTCTTGGATCCAATCCTGTATTGGATTTAATATGTAAGATTGATTATTTATTTAAATATATATTGTCGTATGTATATTGTAATAAATAAAATGTCATTATATGCATGATATATATATATTACTATATACTATACGATTACTATATATATTAAATATATATATATATGTTGGTGTATATGTGTTTTAAATACCGAAAAATTATTATTGGATGAATAAAATAATAATGGCTTAATACTCGGTTCATTAATTTCTTCATAAATTGATAAATCTAATTATTTAATTAGATAAGGGTATATTGGTAAAATACTCTAATTAGGGAACTCAGGGTGGGTTGGCCTATAAAAGGGTACTTTTCCCCAAATTTCCCTATAAGCTCATTCATTGCTGCCCAAGCCAAAAGGTTGAGAGAAATTTCTCTTGAAATTTTCTTACTCTTTTCTTCTTTAAACATCACAAATCAAACTAGCAAATTGGTTGTGTGTTGATTCTTGCCTTTGTGTGGATTTCCATGAGTTTACTTCTATCCTTGAAGTGTGAGCGTTTTTCAACAATCAAGCCATCAATGTGGGTAAGAATCTAAAACCTTGAATGGGTTTTTAATGATCTTTAGCATGAAAACAATGTATATCTCATATTTGAATTTTGGGCCTTTAGGTTTTAATCGGTAAATTTTTGTTTTCTACTGCCTATTTCTTTGATTAATTTATAACATCCGGTGAGTCAATTGGTGGTAGAACGGTTGATTTCTGATGCCGGCAACGACCAAAAATTGCAAGAAGTGTGCAGTGACGATGACGATGTTGTAGTCAATGAATGGTGGATGAAATCGAGTGAGGTGGATGGGGGTTTGTAGAGGTGGAGGCAGGGAGGCGGTGGAGCGAAATTTTAGATTTGCGGCCAACAGTAGTTTTAATCAGATGACAAGGAGGAGGAGGACAAATCAGCACCGTTGGTTTAGAAAAATTTGGTACAATATCTTAGCAAATATTTGATGAAAAAGGGATACATTAATGATCTTATATGCCCATATGTGTTCATAAAGAAATTAGAATCTAGTTTTGCCATTGTGATAGTGTATGTTGATAACATGAACTTAATCGGAACTCTTGAATAGCTCATTGTGGTAGTTGGGTTCTTAGAAAGATAAATTGAAGTTAAGGATCTAGGTATAACAAGATATTGGCTTGGCCAACAAGTTAAGCATAGTACAAACAAAGTTAGAGCAATGGAGTATTGATCTATCAAGTAACCTATATTGAAAAGATTTTGAAATGTTTTAATATGGATAAAGTTTATCCCTTAAGTACCCCAATGGTGGTTCAGTCTTTTGATCCTAAAAATGATCCATTTCGCCCTAAAAAAGATAATGAAAAAATATGTGGTCTTGATGTGTCATATTCCAATGCAATAGGTGTGTTGTTGTACTTAGAACAATATACTAGACTAAATATAGAATTTGTTGCAAATTTATTGGCAAGATTAGCTTTGGACCAACCCGTGACATTAGAGTGAAATCAAACCTATGTTTTGTTACTTCAAGGAAACAACAAACTTAGGTCTATTCTATTCAAAGTATGTTCATGATCTTGGATTAGTTGGCTATGTAGATGATGGGTACCTTTTAGATCCCCACAAAGCCCGCTTAGAGACAAAATATGTTCTTGCTTATAATGGAATAGCAATATCATGACACTCAACAAAATAGACATTGGTTGCTACTTCTTTTATTCATTCTAAGATTTTTGCGTTTTATGAAACCAACCGAGAATACGTATGATTAAGATCTATTATCCATTATATTCAAAACACATGCAAGCTATCTCTTATCTCAAATACTCCTAGTATTACATATAAAGATAATGCTACTTGTATTGCTCAAATTGAGGGAATATATATCAAAGGAGACAAAACTAAACATAGTTCACTACAATTCTTCTACACTCATGAACTTTAATAGAGTCAATGATTGATGTTAAGCAAATACGCTCCAATTATAATCCCACAGATCTATTCACTAAGACCTTACCAACAGAGTCAAGGATTGATTTTAAGTAAATATGCTCCAGTTATAATCTTGTAGATCTATTCACTATGATCTTAACAATCTCAACTTTTGAGAAGTTGGTATAAGGATTAGTATGTGACATCCAATAAGCAACTAAGTTAATTTTGTCATGAGTGGGAGCATTTAAGAAAGGGAGCAAATTTGAATAGGGCTATTGTACTAGACATATGTTCATTGTACTCTTTTGTCCCTTGGTTAGGTTTTGTCCAACTGGGTTTTCTTAGTAAGGTTTTTAATGAGATTGTTTTAAGCATGTCAAACACTATTATATAGGTCATCAAATAATTGTGTTTCTTTGCTTAGATTTTTTTCTCATTAGTTTTCCTAACCAAGGTCCAATATAATTATCTGTAAATGGTAAAAGTCCAAGAGGAAAATTTCAATGCATGTGGCTGATGTCACTAGGTGGAATACCAAGCGATAATCACTTGCTAGGTTGCCTAAATCTTGGCAACATTTCATTTATTAAGATGGGTGGTAAGTAGGCTATATAAACTCACAACCTTTTGCAATGTTGATTTACAAATTGCAAAGAATTCTATGGAAAAAAATATCCAAACCCTTGTATTCTTTCATTATTTAAGTTTAGTCCCTATTATTTATATTTCTACAATTATTTTTACAACACATTTCATAATATAACAATAATGTCAAAAATTCTAAAATATTCTTGGAGCCGAATAGTTGATTTGTTTATGAAATTTCAGAGAATTAATTAATAAGTTGATTACTACACAAACACTAAAAAGAAGAGTTCCCTCTATGAATCATATGAATATATCCTAGATTTTTAACTTGTTTCAGTACTCACAGCAGGGCTTTCACTCGCATCTTCAGTCTCTTCCAAATTCTCAAGCTTTGATACACAAAACATTGCCAAATGGGTATCACCTAGACCAAAATAACTCAATTAAGCATTAAGGATTGTACATTACAAAGTCAGATAACAATAACTCGTCCAAAATAAGTCAACAATAATTATGTTTTTTCACCTTAAGAAGAATTATTTATTTTTTTCCAGGATATGATGTATAGATATATATTTGATAGAAAATCAGAAATTATACAGAAGATCCCATTTAGGTTTCTTTAAACTTCTCCAAGATAAGAAAGTTTAGACATTATTTTTTCTTTACCCTAGCCTTTGTGTTGATTCATGAACATTACATGTAATTCAGTTGATATGCATAACGCCACTGGACAAGAGATGTGAAACCAAACCTATTCAGTAACTGTATCGAAAATTATAGAAGAGATCAATATATTGACTAAACTAGTAAAATTTGACTACATCGATCTTCAGGTTAAAGAGCAAGGGATTCAAAATTCTAAAAGTATTTAAGATTCAATACTTGCATTCTTGTATATCTCCACCTTTTGTTCTTGGTAGAATACATGATGATTTTGCATGACCAGTGTATTGTATTAACCAACAACAATAGTAAAAGATATCAAGTTTCTCAGTGGTTTCCCTATGCGCTTTAATATGTTCCACAACTTGTAACAACTATTTCATAGTAGAAGAATTGTTTGGAAAGTTTCTTGGCAAAAACATGGAGAAGAAGGATGTTGAGTAACCAAAAATGCAACTTAAGAATGCAGCAAATTGGGATTAAGTTAGAGAAATCATATCATACCAAATGTAATACAATTCCCGGATGATGCAGCGGCAGCAACTCCAGGTCTGAGTCGCTTCTCATCAATAAATGTCCCATTTGTACTGTCCAGATCTGTAACCAACAGACTCCCTTCTTTCTTCTGAATACGGGCGTGCAACCCAGATACTATGTAATTTACATGAACGTATTAATTAATAAGAATTATATAGAGTGAAATAATTTTCTTAATCCATTAATCATATGGCCGGGTTTTTATTGAAATAAAAGCAAGTGGAAAATGGGATTTGAGTTATAGAAAGAAAATGACCTGTTGCAACTGGAATCACCATGTCTGCCTTCTCGGGAAGACGGCCAACGGTTACCTCACTCTATAAAATTTCCAAAAAGAAAATCACTTAGCTTAGCTTGGTACAAATGGAGATAAAACAACCATACGTTACAAGGCACAAGAAAAGAATTACGTACAGAAGTAATTTCGAATGCATCTGGCATTGGAACTTTATAACCAATGTGCCTTGTATCTCCATCACCTACGATTTATTCATTCAACCATAAATCATGTTGCGAATTTCTAACTAATTAATATTTTGAAAGTAGTAACTTACCAACAGGTTCAAGAAGCCACCTTTCGGCAACATCAGTTGAGGTGCTCTCAGATTCAGAAGCATGTACAACTCCAAGACTTGAGTGTTTCTTTAATGGTTTGATTCTAAGAAAGGTGTTGGTCTTGCAGGACTGAAAAGGGACTGAATTAGAAAGAAGAAGATATGCTTTAGAATGAAATTTTATTGAGCTAATTAGAACCTTAGCCTGGCAAAGAGACTGCAAAGTCATTTCCATTTTTTCTAAAATCTGTTAATGTTTGAACCAAAGGATAAACAGCTTTTTCTTTTTGTGCACATGTATGTGGCAACAATTTAATGCTCCGATAAGGATGTGGATAACACTATCTTAAAACTGTAATATATATGGATTTTTGTGCATAAAGTTACCATATTACCATTCTTTAATTAAAATAGAGTACAAAATTGGACAATGCAATATCAGTTAATACATTAGCTAATTGGGACGTTATGCGGCAATCATAATAACACTGTATAGAATTCATTGGGCTTATAATTAGGTTCATTTAATAAAAGATTATATTTATAGAAATAAAAATTGAAATTATAGTAAAATCTCTCAATAGTCATAATCGTGGGCCTATCTAATTTTATTACTATAAAGAGGTTATTACTTAATAGAGGTGTAGTTATAAAAAAAAAAATATTTTATAATTCATGTTTTAGTAGTATAATATTAGGATTTAAATTCATGTTTTAATAGTATTAGAATTTCAAATTCAGCGCTTCAATTACCTATTTTTGAAACGGATAGAAGATCACATTTTAAAACTAGCAAATATAAGTGTCCTTGATAGAATTGTAAATGTAGTTACTGCATAGTTAATTGATGTGAAACCACAGACAATTGTCAATTGTTTTAAACATCACAAGATTAGGAATCTCGTTGTCGATAAATTGCACGTTACAAATTAATAGGAGGAGAATCAAAGAGTCCTATTAGAATTGAGTGATTATATTCGACAACTTCACTACACTAATCGAATGAATATTAATATCTTTTTCAATCATCCAAATGAACAGCAAGTCATATATGCTTTATTTGAAAAAGAAATCATTGCTACAATTAAACAAGAATATAAAGAAAATAATTATAAGTACAAAAATTTCATGCCAAGAAGCTCTAAACATACTTAAGACACTAGAAATATTTTGACTTCAACAAGAAGATGTTCATGCTAACGAGTAATGTACCAATAAGTTAAAAGATGTGGTATTAACTCTAAAATATAAATCATTGTCTCAAACAACTTTAGATAAATATTTTATTTTATCTTAAACTTTTAATGTAACATAACATGTTTTTTTTTTTTTTTACAATATATAAATAGTTATTACTATGTGAAGACAACTTTCCTTAAGACGAAAATTAGAAAAATTATAACTTATTACAATGTAGAGTTTTTTTCTTATTTATAACTATCCCAAAATAGGAATAGAATTTTTTATGACTATATAGAATATCAATATAGAAATATTAGACTGTATATGAACAACCCAGATCAATACTCTAGCACTCAAAATTGAAATAAATGGGTCCGGCCCTTTACCCTAATAATCATATATCATTTCTTGCGATATACCCATTTTCATCCAATCTACAAACTAAACTTAGCCTCAGGGGTGTAAGCCAAGTGACATAATTGGTTATTTACCTCCGTTCTATCAATAACTCTGTCGTATTCACTATTCACTAGGTTCACTCCGTTTTTATCATCACTATACACACTGTTACTTATCATTCAAAACTCAAACTTCCTTGACTCCTCTTTCATATCAACAAAAGACCTAAGCTTCAATACCATATATTTCCAAGTAAAAACAGGCATCAACATTTAGTTTAGTTGGAAATGTCATAGCAACTTCATTCTCTTCTCTAGTTGAAAATCAACTGAGAATATAATTCATTGAAATATAATTCATATCCCAATATAAATGTATTCCATACATCAGTTACCTACAAAAACATGAGGTCTTTCTATCTCAGGTATTAACAATAATAGTAGATATAAATTATATATCTTGCTACTTAACACACTATTATACTGCAAAATGCGGCTACAGTCACCATAAAAAAAACAAAAATTCCCCCGGATTCAAGCATCATCAATTATACAGCAGAGATATACATATTTCTTATCAAATAAGAAAACAATTATCTGGGCACTTGGGTAACAATATAATGCCCTTTCTCAAGATCGTATATTGTTTTTATCTGTGGTTTTCGCCATTGCAGTACAAAAATAGCACTAAGTAATACTATTAACAGAAAAGCAAACAATGAGAAGTATGTTAGTGACTCATTTCCTACAACCTGGTCCAGCTTCTCACGTTCCAGTTCAAGGGACTGCAGCTTTGACTGGAAGATGAATGCTCCAAGAGTCCAATCAAGGGGATTCTTCTCGGTATGGTTTACAAATCCAATTCTGCAATTTCATCATTTCTCATCAAAATTCATAACGTGAAATAGGCAAAAGAATTGTTTCTTACAGCCAAGATCCATTATTCCTACTGAATTCACAAACAACAAAGGACTTCAAGGGATTGAGGACATCAATATGATCAATAAACTTTTAAATAACATGATGACCCAAGATAATAACAAGTAATAAACCAAAATTTTTAGTGATCAAATTTCTTGCTTCAGCAAATTTTTAAAACCAAGTGATAGCATACAATATAATTTCTGTAAGAAGACGGTACTCACAGTTTATGTGTTTACCTTTTTTGGTTCATTGATAGTGCTACAGTCTCATTATTGTTAGAATAAAGGACAATAGGCGATATAACCATAGTCCTTACCAGTTTCTAAAGCAGCTATATATTTGGCCTCCTTAGTGTAATTAGTAATATAAGATTGTTTGATACTCATCTAACTTATAGCTCCACCGGTTAAAGTAAGCACATATGCAAAGCAGCAAAAGTTTGATTTTCTGAAATCTGTATACCTTGAAGGTCTATCGTTATGCATTGAAAACTTAGGTATATCATTTGTTCGAATTATGCATTGAAAACTTGAGCAAGATCTGATCTATATATGTTGCTTGGGTAAGCTAAACATTCTAACTTTACAACCACACAAAAGCTTAATTCCTAAATTACGTTGGCTTCCCCTTGGTCTTCCATATTAAATTGGTCAGACGACGAAACCTAAACAAATGATAATAAGCCTATATCATTCATAATAAGTGAATATCAACAACATGCAAGACCAAGAATACAATATTATCATCTTTCTTTACCATACCATATTCACCAAGATTTTGATCAAGACTGCAGATTTCACTATCAAATCCAATATTCCAGGATCTAGACGCTCACTTAAGTGCATATATAGACTTGTGCAACCTATATACCATCTTTTCTTGACCTTTAGATGAAGATGCCCATAAATCGGTACTAGGTGAAGATGTCTCACAAAAACCCACCATGAAAATGCTACAAATGTGCAATAAGCACGCATGAAAAATAGAGAAAATAAAATGAGATGGATGTTATAGTTTTAGTATCTCCTACTTATCAATGCAACATATATTGAGAAGATCTTGAGAAAGTTTTCAATGCATAATTCCAAGAAAGGATTACTTCCTTTCAGGAATAGAATTGCTCTCTCTAAGGATCAATGTTCCAAGATACTTGAAAAGGCAGAGCACATAAAGAAGATTTCTTATGCTTCAACCATTGGCAGTCTCATGTATTATTTATGTGTTAGACCAGACATTTGTTATGTAGTAGGTATGATTAATAAGTACCTATCAAAGAAAAGAACCAAGCACTGAGTAGAAGTAGAAGATACACTCAAGTATCTTAAAAGAATGAGTGAGTATATACTTATCTACCAAAGGAACCGATCTAATACCTGTAAGGTATACAGATTTCAAATTCTCAAATCGAATAGAGATTTTAGAAGTGTGTTTACCATTGGTGGTAAAGCCATAAGTTAGAAGAGTATCTAACAACCTTGTAAAGAAACTATTTGGTTGATGAGATTCCTATGGTTGTATCGGCTATTATCATTTAATCTAACATACTACTATAGCATTTTTAAAAGAAAAGGTAACGTGATAATAATATTACTCAGATCTCCTACAGCAATTTACCAAAGATAAATGAATCACTGTATGACCAAAGATAAATGACCGGTGAAACAGAATATTATGCTAACAAAGTAAAAAATATCATGAAGAGATACCAACAAAATAAAACAGGAGCTTCATTGAGATATTATCTGAATTAACAAACACAAAGAATGCTATCATGCTTATTCAGCCATAATGAGAAAAAAAAATACCTTTTATCATGCAAAGGGATTCCAAGACTGTCATGCAACAGTGCCACCGTAAATGCAGAAAAGAAACAGTATCTTAACAAATCCAAATCATCAATGCCACGATGTTGATTTTTCAGTATACCCCAATCATTTTCGCAGTAATGTTTTCCAAATGCCTCCAGTTCAAACAACGAAGTCCTAGGAACCAGCCCAAAAAGCTGACGAAGTTCAAATGTGTTAAAAATTCCAAAAATAGCAACTACCTTAACAACCAAAGAGAAACAAATTTCAAGCTAGTAATAATATATTTACCAGAAGACAGTGTTGAATTTTTACAGGATGAATAATATATTATATTTGGTTAACTGTAAAAGATTATGTTTCCTTCTAGAATCACTCTTGTAAATGATTTCATCACTTTTTAGCATACAGATGTCACTGACTTACACTGCAATAAAATAATTCTAGAAAGACAACTCACTTGTGCAAAAAGCCTTCCATTTACTAAGAATTCACTTTAGAGGGTTGCTTTAAGCTTGCTTTTGTTTATATATGAAGGATGAAACAGTAAATTAAAGACCGTACCTAGGCAGATAAGTGTTCCTTTGACAGGATACAACTTAAATAAGTTACAGTTTTTGGGATAGCGTCTTGTCTAGATTTATGCCTTGAACTAATAGATAAATAACATTTTGGATGTCTTAGTCAGTTCATATAAATTTGAATTGGTTCAAGGTCTTCCATCAGACATAATCCAAATACACAAAATGCATAGATTTTTTGCTTTGTTATGTCCTTGAAATTGATATTGTGGATCTATGGAACTATGGGGGAACACTTTTTCATTTTGTGTGAGTTTAAAATCTGTGAAATTTGGTTTCAGATAAAACAGCTACTGTAAGGAGAGGTTTACAATTGCCACATATATAAAATCTATTATCTTAAAGCGCTCCATTATGTTACAATCTTTACTTTGCTCAACTGTAAAACATTCAGATAAGAGTCACTGCCTCAAGGAACAAACACTATGTGTAATTACTATCAAACATAGCCCACATGCAGCAAATAATGAAATTATATAAAGTGAATTTTTTTTACCATTAAATTACGTTTAATATCATATTTACAAACCTCAGAACTATAGAAGAAATTTTCTGGTGAAGTGGTCTGGTCTTGTAAGCTGGAGAAGAAGGATGAGAGAATTTGACAAGGCGGATGCAAGCATTTATCTGAACAGGTAATGAAAAAAAATTAACCAACAACAATAGTAAAAGATATCAAGTTTCTCAGTGGTTTCCCTATGCGCTTTAATATGTTCCACAACTTGTAACAACTATTTCCTAGTAGAAGAATTGTTGGAAGTTTCTTGGCAAAAACATGGAGAAGAAGGAGTTGGTAACCAAAAATGCAACTTAAGAATGCAGTAAATTGGGACTAAGTTAGAGAAATCATACTATACCAAATGTATACAATTCCCGGATGATGCAGCGGCAGCAACTCCAGGTCTGAGTCGCTTCTCATCAATAAATGTCCCATTTGTACTGTCCAGATCTGTAACCAACAGACTCCCTTCTTTCTTCTGAATACGGGCGTGCAAACAGATACTATGTAATTTACATGAACGTATTAATTAATAAGAATTATATAGAGTGAAATAATTTTCTTAATCCATTAATCATATGGCCGGGTTTTATGAAATAAAAGCAAGTGGAAAATGGGATTTGAGTTATAGAAAGAAAATGACCTGTTGCAACTGGAATCACCATGTCTGCCTTCTCGGGAAGACGGCCAACGGTTACCACTCTATGAAATTTCCAAAAAGAAAATCACTTAGCTTAGCTTGGTACAAATGGAGATTAAACAACCATACGTTACAAGGCACAAGAAAGAATTACGACAGAAGTAATTTCGAATGCATCTGGCATTGGAACTTTATAACCAATGTGCCTTGTATCTCCATCACCTACGATATTCATTCAACCATAAATCATGTTGCGAATTTCTAACTAATTAATATTGAAAGTAGTAACTACAACAAAGGTTCAAGAAGCCACCTTTCGGCAACATCAGTTGAGGTGCTCTCAGATTCAGAAGCATGTACAACTCCAAGACTTGAGTGTTCTTTAATGGTTTGATTTAAGAAAGGTGTTGGCTTGCAGGACTGAAAAGGGACCGAAATAGAAAGAAGAATAGATGCTTTAGAATGAAATTTTATTGAGCTAATTAGAAGCTTAGCCTGGCAAAGAGACTCCAAAGTCATTCCATTTTTTCTGAAATCTGTTAATGTTTGAACCAAAGGATAAACAGCTTTTCCTTTTGTGCCACGTATGTGGCAACAATTTAATGTTCTGATAAGGATGTGGATAACAATACTTAAAACTGTAATATATATGGTTTTGTTGCATAAAGTTACCATATTACCATTCTTTTTAATAGAGTAGAAAAGGGACAATGCAGTATCAGTTAATACATTAGCTAATTGGGACGTTATGCGGCAATCAAATAACACTACATAGAATTCATTGGGCTTATAATTAGGTTATTTAATAAAAGATTATATTTATAGAAATAAAAATTGAAATTAAAGTAAAATCTTCTATAACATAATTGTAGGACTAACTAATTTTATTATTATAAGAAGATTATTACTAATAGAAGTGTAGTTATAAAAAAAATTATTTTATAATTCATGTTTTAGTAGTATAGTATTAAGATTTAAATTCATGTTTTAATAGTATTAGAATTTCAAATTCAGCGTTTCAATTGCCTATTTTTTAAACGGATAGAAGATTACGCTTGGAACTAGTAAATATAAGTGTCCTTGATGGAATTGTAAATACAATTTTGATAGTCAATTGATGTGAAACCACAGACAATTGTCAATGTTTTAAACATTACAAGATTAAGCCTCGATGTCGATAAATTGCAAGTTACAAATTAATAGGAAGAGGAGAATAAAGAGTCCTATTAGAATTGAGTGATTATATTCGACAACTATACACATAATCGAATGGATATTAATATCTTTCCAATCATCAAAAGAATAGCAAATCATATTGCTTATTGAAGAAAGAATCATTGCTATAATTAGACAAGAATAGAAAGGAAATAATTATGAGTATGATAGCATGGAAATACAAAAAATTTCATGCCCAGAAGCTCTAAACATACTTGAGACACTAAAAATATTTGGCTTCAACAGAAGAAAAGCTTATTAATGAGTAATGTACCAATAAGTTAAAAGATGAGTATTAACTCTAAAACATAAATCATTGTCCCAAACAAATTTAGATAAATATTTATTTATCTAAACCTTTAATGTAACATAGCATATTTTTTTTTTTTTACAATATATAGATAGTTATTACTATGTGGAGACAACTTCCTTAGAAGGAAAATAGAAAAATTATAACTTATTACAATATGGAGTTTATTCATATTTATAACTATCGCAAAGTAGAAATAAAAATTTTTAGACTATGTAAATTTATTCAAATATAGAATATCAATGTAGAATGTTATACTGTATATGGACAACCCAGATCAATACTCTAGCACTGAAAATTGAAATAAATGGGTCCGGCCCTTTACCCTAATAATCATATATCATTTCTTGCGATATACCCTCTCCATCCAATTTACGAACTAAACTTGGCCTCAGGGGTGTAACCCAAGTGACATAATTAGTTATTTACCTCCGTTCTATCAATAACTCTTCGTATTCACTATTCACTAGGTTCACAGTTCACTCCGTTTTTATCATCACTATACACACTGTTACTTATCATTCAAAACTCAAACTTCCTTGACTCCTCTTTCATGTAACAAAAGACCTAAGCTTCAATACCTATATTTCCAAGTAAAAACAGGCATCAACATTTAGTTTAGCTGGAAATGTCATAGCAACTTCATTCTCTTCTCTAGTTAAAAATCAACTAATAATATAATTCATTGAAATTAATTATATCCCAATATAATTTATTCCATACATCAGTTACCTACAAAAACATGAGGTTTTTTATCTCAGGTATTAACAATAATCTAGATATAAATTATAATCTGCTACTTAACACACTATATACTGCAAAATGCGGCTACAGTCACATAAAAAAAAAAAAACAAAAATTTCCCCGGATTCAAGCACATCAATTATACAGCAGAGATATAACATATTCTTATCAAATAAGAAACAATATCTGGGCACTGGGTAACAATATAGTGCCCTTTCTCAAGATCGTATATGTTTTTATCTGTGGTTTTCGCCATTGCAGTACAAAAATAGCACTAAGTATAACTATTAACAGAAAAGCAAACAATGAGAAGTATGTTAGTGACTCATTTCCTACAACTGGTCCAGCTTCTCACGTTCCAGTTCAAGGGACTGCAGCTTTGATGGAAGATGAAGCTCCAAGAGTCCAATCAAGGGGATTCTTCTCGGTATGGTTTACAAATCCAATTCTGCAATTTCATCATTTCTCATCCAAATCATAACGTGAAATAGGCAAAAGAATTGTTTCTTACAGCCAAGATCCATTATTCCTACTGAATTCACAAACAACAAAGGATTCAAGGGATTGAGGACATCGATATGATCAATAAACTTTAATAACATGATGACCCAAGATAATAACAAGTAATGAACCAAAATTTTTAGTGATCAAATTTCTTGCTTCAGCAAATTTTTAAAACCAAGTGATAGCTACAATATAATTTCGTAAGAAGACGGTACTCACAGTTTATGTGTTTACCTTTTTGGTTCATTGATAGTGCTACAGTCTCAATTGTTAGAATAAAGGACAATAGGCGATATAACCATAGTCCTTACCAGTTCTAAAGCAGCTATATATCGGCCTCCTTAGTGTAATTAGTAATATAAGATTGTTTGATACTCATCTAACTTATAGCTCCACCGGTTAAAGTAAGCACAATGCAAAGCAGCAAAAGTTTGATTTTCTGAAATCTGTATACCTTGAAGGTATACATTATGCATTGAAAACTTAGGTATATCATTTGTTCGAATTATGCATTGAAAACTTGGCAAGATCGATCTATTCAGTACTCCACAGCAGGTGGAGCATACTCAGCAGCAAGTGGAGTTTAAAACAACATCAGTTAGCCCAGCTAGAAATGAGACTCCTATGATAGAGGAGTTTATTGGAGATGAAGAAGAAGATTCTTCCTAAGAACCTCAACAAGAATCTATTACCGTTAATAGGCCAAGACGAAAAATTCACAAGCCTGCTCATTTTGCTGATACGGTGGCCTATGCACTCCCAATTGAAGATGGTGAAGTTCCTTCCACTTATAATAAAGTAGCTAGCAGTTTCGAAAATTGTAAGTGGAAGAAAGCCATGAAAGATGAGATGTAGTCTCTCCATAAGAATGAAACTCAGGAGGTAGTTCAATTACCAAAGAATAAGAAGGCAATTGGGTGCAAATTGGTATATGCAAAGAAAGAAGGATTTCCGAATTTGAAAGACATCCGATACAAGACAAGGTAGGTGGCGAAAGGCTATGCTCAGAAGGAAGGAATAGATTTCCATGAGGTATTTTCTCCAATTGTAAAACATTCTTCCATTAGAATTTTGTTGGCCTTGGTTGCTCAAATGAATCTTGAACTAGTTCAACTTGATGTGCAAATCACGTTTCTACACGGTGATTTGGAAGAGGAAATCTATATGACTCAGCCAAAAGGATTTAGGAGAAGCCAAGAAGATTCTCAGTATGGAGATAATTAAGAGACAGGGGAAATGGCAAGGTTTGTTTGACACAAAAGCAGTATCTAAAGAAGGTCTTACAACGTTTTGGCATAACTGAAAGTACAAAACCTGTAAGTACTCCACTTGCTCCTCATATAAAGCTTAGTGCATCATTATCTCCAAGTACGCATGAAGAACGAGAGTATATGTCAAAAGTTTTGTATTCAAATGCGGTTGGTAGCTTGATGTATTCAATGGTGTGTACTAGGCCCGACATTTCACATGCAGTTGGAATTGTGAGCAGGTATATGCATGATCCTGGTAAAGGACATTGGCAAGCTGTGAAGTGGATTTTACGGTATATTATAGGTATTGTAAACATTGGTTTGGTTTTTGAACGAGATGAAAATCTTAGTCAATTTGTTGTTGGCTATGTTGATTCTAATTATGGTGATTTGGACCATCGTCGGTCAACTACTAGATATGTATTTACACTTGCTAAAGCTCCAGTAAGTTGAAAATCTTCTTTGCAGTCTACAGTTGCTTTGTCTACTACAGAGGGAGAATATATGCCAGTTACAGAGGCTGTAAAGGAAGCTATTTGGTTACAAAGGCTATTGGATGAATTGAAAATTAGTCAGAAGAAGATCACTATCTATTCTAACAGTCAGAGTGCTATTCACTTAGCAAAGAATTCAGTATTCCACTTTTGCACCAAGCATATAGATGTTCGTTATCACTTTGTGCGGGAAATCATTACTGAAGGAAGAATCTCATTAGAGAAGATTGGGACTGCTGAGAATCCTATAGATATTTTAATGAAAGTAGTGACAATGATCAAGTTCAATCATTGTTTCAGGTTGATCAACATCTTGCGAGCTTGACTATGCCTTTTGGCACATTTGAAGGTGTTGCAAAATTTGATAGAAGAATACAAAACTTTGAAGGTTTGCTAATTCATCAAGGTGGAGATTTGTTGGAAAAATGGCTCATTTAGCAAAATCACATGGGGTAGAAGTGATAATAGAGAAAGGTGTAGAGACTTATATGTAATAGGCCAAAAAGTTAGTTTGTCCCACATTGCTTAGGAATGAAAAGTGGGAAACTTTTGGGGCCTATATATAAGGACCCAAATCATTGTTATTTGTATCCCAAGTTGTATTTCCTTTACACTTCTCTTGTACAGGGTTCTTTCATTAAGGACCATTTAGTTTAAAAGTTTTGTTGTATCTCCCCTTTGTTTTGGGTATTTGTTGTATTGCTCAAAAGTTTGTAATATTGTTTGGAGATAGTGGAGTTTTCTTTTGCAGTGCCCGAGGACGTAGGTTACAATACCGAACCTCGCTAATTCCTGGTATTCTTTATTTTTGCATTTATTTTTGGCCATTTATTTTTGCTTTACTACTTGTTATTATATATTCAATAGCTAGCATTAGAGTTTATGTTTCCGTTACATAACAATATATTTGATAGAAAATCAGAAATTATACAGAAGATCCCATTTAGGTTTCTTTAAACTCGTCCAAGATAAGAAAGTGTAGACATTATTTTTTCTTTACCCTAGCCTTTGTGTTGATTCATGAACATTACATGTAATTCAGTTGATATGCATAACGCCACTGGACAAGAGAAGTGAAACCAAACCTATTCAGTAACTGTATGGAAAATTATAGAACAGATCAATATATTGATTAAACTAGTAAAATTTGACTACGTCGATTTTCAGGTTAAAGAGCAAGGGATTCAAAATTCTAAAAGTATTTAAGATTCAATACTTGCATTCTTGTATATCTCCACCTTTTGTTCTTGGTAGAATACATGATGGTTTGGCATGACCAGTGTATTGTATTAACCAACAACAATAGTAAAAGATATCAAGTTTCTCAGTGGTTTCCCTATGCGCTTTAATATGTTCCACAACTTGTAACAACTATTTCCTAGTAGAAGAATTGTTTGGAAAGTTTCTTGGCAAAAACATGGAGAAGAAGGATGTTGAGTAACCAAAAATGCAACTTAAGAATGCAGCAAATTGGGATTAAGTTAGAGAAATCATATCATACCAAATGTAATACAATTCCCGGATGATGCAGCGGCAGCAACTCCAGGTCTGAGTCGCTTCTCATCAATAAATGTCCCATTTGTACTGTCCAGATCTGTAACCAACAGACTCCCTTCTTTCTTCTGAATACGGGCGTGCAACCCAGATACTATGTAATTTACATGAACGTATTAATTAATAAGAATTATATAGAGTGAAATAATTTTCTTAATCCATTAATCATATGGCCGGGTTTTTATTGAAATAAAAGCAAGTGGAAAATGGGATTTGAGTTATAGAAAGAAAATGACCTGTTGCAACTGGAATCACCATGTCTGCCTTCTCGGGAAGACGGCCAACGGTTACCTCACTCTATAAAATTTCCAAAAAGAAAATCACTTAGCTTAGCTTGGTACAAATGGAGATAAAACAACCATACGTTACAAGGCACAAGAAAAGAATTACGTACAGAAGTAATTTCGAATGCATCTGGCATTGGAACTTTATAACCAATGTGCCTTGTATCTCCATCACCTACGATTTATTCATTCAACCATAAATCATGTTGCGAATTTCTAACTAATTAATATTTTGAAAGTAGTAACTTACCAACAGGTTCAAGAAGCCACCTTTCGGCAACATCAGTTGAGGTGCTCTCAGATTCAGAAGCATGTACAACTCCAAGACTTGAGTGTTTCTTTAATGGTTTGATTCTAAGAAAGGTGTTGGTCTTGCAGGACTGAAAAGGGACTGAATTAGAAAGAAGAAGATATGCTTTAGAATGAAATTTTATTGAGCTAATTAGAACCTTAGCCTGGCAAAGAGACTCCAAAGTCATTTCCATTTTTTCTGAAATCTGTTAATGTTTGAACCAAAGGATAAACAGCTTTTTCCTTTTGTGCACATGTATGTGGCAACAATTTAATGTTCTGATAAGGATGTGGATAACAATATCTTAAAACTGTAATATATATGGATTTTTGTGCATAAAGTTACCATATTACCATTCTTTTTAATTAGAGTAGAAAATGGGACAATGCAGTATCAGTTAATACATTAGCTAATTGGGACGTTATGCGGCAATCATAATAACACTACATAGAATTCATTGGGCTTATAATTAGGTTCATTTAATAAAAGATTATATTTATAGAAATAAAAATTGAAATTAAAGTAAAATCTCTCTATAATCATAATTGTAGGACTAACTAATTTTATTATTATAAGAAGATTATTACTTAATAGAAGTGTAGTTATAAAAAAAATTTATTTTATAATTCATGTTTTAGTAGTATAGTATTAAGATTTAAATTCATGTTTTAATAGTATTAGAATTTCAAATTCAGCGTTTCAATTGCCTATTTTTTAAACGGATAGAAGATTACGTCTTGGAACTAGTAAATATAAGTGTCCTTGATGGAATTGTAAATACAATTGTTGCATAGTCAATTGATGTGAAACCACAGACAATTGTCAATTGTTTTAAACATTACAAGATTAAGACTCTCGATGTCGATAAATTGCAAGTTACAAATTAATAGGAAGAGGAGAATCAAAGAGTCCTATTAGAATTGAGTGATTATATTCGACAACTTTACTACACTAATCGAATGGATATTAATATCTTTCTCAATCATCCAAATGAATAGCAAATCATATATGCTTTATTTGAAGAAGAAATCATTGCTATAATTAGACAAGAATAGAAAGGAAATAATTATGAGTATGATAGCATGGAAATACAAAAAATTTCATGCCAAGAAGCTCTAAACATACTTGAGACACTAAAAATATTTTGGCTTCAACAAGAAAATGCTCATATTAATGAGTAATGTACCAATAAGTTAAAAGATGTAGTATTAACTCTAAAACATAAATCATTGTCCCAAACAACTTTAGATAAATATTTTATTTCATCTTAAACCTTTAATGTAACATAGCATATTTTTTTTTTTTACAATATATAGATAGTTATTACTATGTGGAGACAACTTTCCTTAAGAAGGAAAATAGAAAAATTATAACTTATTACAATATGGAGTTTATTCATATTTATAACTATCGCAAAGTAGAAATAAAAATTTTTATGACTATGTAAAATTTATTCAAATATAGAATATCAATGTAGAAATGTTATACTGTATATGGACAACCCAGATCAATACTCTAGCACTGAAAATTGAAATAAATGGGTCCGGCCCTTTACCCTAATAATCATATATCATTTCTTGCGATATACCCATCTCCATCCAATTTACGAACTAAACTTGGCCTCAGGGGTGTAACCCAAGTGACATAATTAGTTATTTACCTCCGTTCTATCAATAACTCTTTCGTATTCACTATTCACTAGGTTCACAGTTCACTCCGTTTTTATCATCACTATACACACTGTTACTTATCATTCAAAACTCAAACTTCCTTGACTCCTCTTTCATGTCAACAAAAGACCTAAGCTTCAATACCATATATTTCCAAGTAAAAACAGGCATCAACATTTAGTTTAGCTGGAAATGTCATAGCAACTTCATTCTCTTCTCTAGTTAAAAATCAACTAATAATATAATTCATTGAAATATAATTCATATCCCAATATAAATTTATTCCATACATCAGTTACCTACAAAAACATGAGGTCTTTTTATCTCAGGTATTAACAATAATACTAGATATAAATTATATATCTTGCTACTTAACACACTATAATACTGCAAAATGCGGCTACAGTCACCATAAAAAAAAAAAAAACAAAAATTTCCCCGGATTCAAGCATCATCAATTATACAGCAGAGATATACATAATTCTTATCAAATAAGAAAACAATTATCTGGGCACTCGGGTAACAATATAGTGCCCTTTCTCAAGATCGTATATTGTTTTTATCTGTGGTTTTCGCCATTGCAGTACAAAAATAGCACTAAGTAATACTATTAACAGAAAAGCAAACAATGAGAAGTATGTTAGTGACTCATTTCCTACAACCTGGTCCAGCTTCTCACGTTCCAGTTCAAGGGACTGCAGCTTTGACTGGAAGATGAATGCTCCAAGAGTCCAATCAAGGGGATTCTTCTCGGTATGGTTTACAAATCCAATTCTGCAATTTCATCATTTCTCATCAAAATTCATAACGTGAAATAGGCAAAAGAATTGTTTCTTACAGCCAAGATCCATTATTCCTACTGAATTCACAAACAACAAAGGACTTCAAGGGATTGAGGACATCAATATGATCAATAAACTTTTAAATAACATGATGACCCAAGATAATAACAAGTAATAAACCAAAATTTTTAGTGATCAAATTTCTTGCTTCAGCAAATTTTTAAAACCAAGTGATAGCATACAATATAATTTCTGTAAGAAGACGGTACTCACAGTTTATGTGTTTACCTTTTTTGGTTCATTGATAGTGCTACAGTCTCATTATTGTTAGAATAAAGGACAATAGGCGATATAACCATAGTCCTTACCAGTTTCTAAAGCAGCTATATATTTGGCCTCCTTAGTGTAATTAGTAATATAAGATTGTTTGATACTCATCTAACTTATAGCTCCACCGGTTAAAGTAAGCACATATGCAAAGCAGCAAAAGTTTGATTTTCTGAAATCTGTATACCTTGAAGGTCTATCGTTATGCATTGAAAACTTAGGTATATCATTTGTTCGAATTATGCATTGAAAACTTGAGCAAGATCTGATCTATATATGTTGCTTGGGTAAGCTAAACATTCTAACTTTACAACCACACAAAAGCTTAATTCCTAAATTACGTTGGCTTCCCCTTGGTCTTCCATATTAAATTGGTCAGACGACGAAACCTAAACAAATGATAATAAGCCTATATCATTCATAATAAGTGAATATCAACAACATGCAAGACCAAGAATACAATATTATCATCTTTCTTTACCATACCATATTCACCAAGATTTTGATCAAGACTGCAGATTTCACTATCAAATCCAATATTCCAGGATCTAGACGCTCACTTAAGTGCATATATAGACTTGTGCAACCTATATACCATCTTTTCTTGACCTTTAGATGAAGATGCCCATAAATCGGTACTAGGTGAAGATGTCTCACAAAAACCCACCATGAAAATGCTACAAATGTGCAATAAGCACGCATGAAAAATAGAGAAAATAAAATGAGATGGATGTTATAGTTTTAGTATCTCCTACTTATCAATGCAACATATATTGAGAAGATCTTGAGAAAGTTTTCAATGCATAATTCCAAGAAAGGATTACTTCCTTTCAGGAATAGAATTGCTCTCTCTAAGGATCAATGTTCCAAGATACTTGAAAAGGCAGAGCACATAAAGAAGATTTCTTATGCTTCAACCATTGGCAGTCTCATGTATTATTTATGTGTTAGACCAGACATTTGTTATGTAGTAGGTATGATTAATAAGTACCTATCAAAGAAAAGAACCAAGCACTGAGTAGAAGTAGAAGATACACTCAAGTATCTTAAAAGAATGAGTGAGTATATACTTATCTACCAAAGGAACCGATCTAATACCTGTAAGGTATACAGATTTCAAATTCTCAAATCGAATAGAGATTTTAGAAGTGTGTTTACCATTGGTGGTAAAGCCATAAGTTAGAAGAGTATCTAACAACCTTGTAAAGAAACTATTTGGTTGATGAGATTCCTATGGTTGTATCGGCTATTATCATTTAATCTAACATACTACTATAGCATTTTTAAAAGAAAAGGTAACGTGATAATAATATTACTCAGATCTCCTACAGCAATTTACCAAAGATAAATGAATCACTGTATGACCAAAGATAAATGACCGGTGAAACAGAATATTATGCTAACAAAGTAAAAAATATCATGAAGAGATACCAACAAAATAAAACAGGAGCTTCATTGAGATATTATCTGAATTAACAAACACAAAGAATGCTATCATGCTTATTCAGCCATAATGAGAAAAAAAAATACCTTTTATCATGCAAAGGGATTCCAAGACTGTCATGCAACAGTGCCACCGTAAATGCAGAAAAGAAACAGTATCTTAACAAATCCAAATCATCAATGCCACGATGTTGATTTTTCAGTATACCCCAATCATTTTCGCAATAATGTTTTCCAAATGCCTCCAGTTCAAACAAAGAAGTCCTAGGAACCAGCCCAAAAAGCTGACGAAGCTCAAATGTGTTAAAAATTCCAAAAATAGCAACTACCTTAACAACCAAAGAGAAACAAATTTCAAGCTAGTAATAATATATTTACCAGAAGACAGTGTTGAATTTTTACAGGATGAATAACATATTATATTTGGTTAACTGCAAAAGATTATGTTTCCTTCTAGAATCACTCTTGTAAATGATTTCATCACTTTTTAGCATTTAGATGTCACTGACTTACACTGCAATAAAATAATTCTAGAAAGACAACTCACTTGTGCAAAAAGCCTTCCATTTACTAAGAAGTCACTTTAGAGGGTTGCTTTAAGCTTGCTTTTGTTCATATATGAAGGATGAAACAGTAAATTAAAGACCATACCTAGGCAGATAAGTGTTCCTTTGACAGGATACAACTTAAATAAGTTACAGCTTTTGGGATAGCGTCTTGTCTAGATTTATGCCTTGAACTAATAGATAAATAACATTTTGGATGTCTTAGTCAGTTCATTTAAATTTGAATTGGTTCAAGGTCTTCCATCAGACATAATCCAAATACACAAAATGCATAGATTTTTTGCTTTGTTATGTCCTTGAAATTGATATTGTGGATCTATGGAACTATGGGGAAACACTTTTTCATTTTGTGTGATTTTAAAATCTGTGAAATTTGGTTTCAGATAAAACAGCTACTGTAAGGAGAGGTTTACAATTGCCACATATATAAAATCTATTATCTTAAAGCGCTCCATTATGTTACAATCTTTACTTTGCTCAACTGTAAAACATTCAGATAAGAGTCACTGCCTCAAGGAACAAACACTATGTGTAATTACTATCAAACATAGCCCACATGCAGCAAATAATGAAATTATATAAAGTGAATTTTTTTTACCATTAAATTACGTTTAATATCATATTTACAAACCTCAGAACTATAGAAGAAATTTTCTGGTGAAGTGGTCTGGTCTTGTAAGCTGGAGAAGAAGGATGAGAGAATTTGACAAGGCGGATGCAAGCATTTATCTGAACAGGTAATGAAAAAAATATCACAGAGAGAATATTACATTTTACAGAACTTAAGAAAGTGCTTCCGACTCTGAGAATCACATAAAGAAGGAAGATAAAAACTAGAACATCATAATTTCATATAAAAACAAGAACTGTAAGATTAAATTTACACAAGACATGCATTCACATAAAACAACACTGGTGAGAAAGAGATACGGATGAAGGCCAGAGACAAACTATGAGGGCATGTTTGCTTGGATGCAATGGGTAAGGCAATGGGAATGGGAACCCTCATTCTCTCCCCGTCTCATTGTTTGGTTTAAAAGAAAGAGCATTCAACGTAAAAATCATGGAACAAGAACTCGTTCCTTCAAGGGAAGGAATGAGGAAGGAATTGTCATTTTGTTCCTCAATTAAATACAAAATTTCATTTTTCACCTTTATTAAAATATTTAAAAAAAATTCTTATATAATTGTCTAACAATTATTAAATTAAAAACTAATTTATTGTATAATTAAAATACTAATAATTAAAATATCTAAAAATGCTTATAATAAATATTTATTATTTATTTGAATCATAGATAATCTTATTAATAAAAATAAATAAGTAAAAATTCCAACAAACTAGTCGACTAGTATTCAGCCACCACATCTACAACACTGTTGACGAGTGAATGATCTCCAACCGTCGATCTATAGATCTAGGTTGGTGAGGGTGGTTGAAAATCAACATTTTTTGGTGGTCGCCTAAAGCATGCCATGCACGTGCAACCAAAACAACGAATCAACAAGTACCACCGCTAACCTAGATTGATGAATCTGCAACTAGCGATCACTCACACACCTACGATGTTGTTAAACACGAGGTGGCCAGCCGTCAATCGGCTGTTTCACCAGAATTTTTTATTTTAAATTTTTTTAATTAATATTATTCATAATTTAAATAAATAACTAAGATTTTATATTGAATAACATACCTTTTATTAAATAATGTCTATTTAGTAACTAATTTATATATAATTTCATAAAATAATATCTTTTATACAACAACAAAAATTTCACTATTATATTAATCTAATACATGATATTTTATATTTAATAAAAAATTTATTGTAATGAGAAAACAATTCATAATATGAGTGATATGGAACGTTATAATATTTTATATTTTTATGTGTAAAGTTACATGTATCAATAAATTATACATAATATTAAAAAAAAAAAAAAAAAAAAAAAAGGTGATATTATTAATGATGTTTAATGTTTTAAACTTGAGGACAGTTTTGTCCACATATCTAATATTAATGAAGTTCCAATATATTGTCCACAATGGAATTCTCATCATTCCATCCTACATTCCCATTCCCATAATCATTGTCATTCCATTTCAATCCTTTCCCCAAAGCAAACATGGCATAAAAGAAAAACTAGAAAAATTCACAGGGCTTTCATGCCAAAACTTTTAAGCATCAATGCCAATCGTGACACTAATAAATTGATAGAGGATACATATAAGATACCCCACAGTTAATGCCAAAAGATTTATAAGCATACCATCAAAAAATTTCAATCATTTTATAAGCTTTCTAACATGTACTAAGCACTTGCGTATAACAACAGTTTTACTAGGGATAGATTTCTCCAATTATAAGGGCTTCCCACATGCACTATATTTACATTCTCTTGTAGATCCAAGACCAGAAAAATTGAAAAAATTTAAGAAGCAGAAACCATAAGATCTCAGCTCAGGTAAAATGAGATCAAAGAGGCTGGTACCTTGTCTCCCCAATCAGCTGAGGACAAAGGTAAATTATATAACAACATAACAAAGTCAGATAAAAGAAGATGAAAGAGAGAAGGTACCTTGTCCTCTCGTCAACAAAGCCAGAGCTTCAAATCTACAAGCAGAAAAGTTTCCAGCAGCATGAGATTTAAGAAGTTTCCTATCACTGGAACTCGATGTCAGCTCATAGCCTCTAGGGATGCAAGGGTTGTTAGAACGTACTCTGGAACTTGAAACTGCATAAAATCAACGATGGATCAATCACATAGTCAACTATAGAGCACGATTAGGTACACATGGAATCAAAATGTTATCCATCGATGCAAGACTTTGTGCATTCATCACATCAAACCATCAAGATTGCCGAAAGTTTTATTCATTTTGCTTTTACAATAAAAATTTCACTTACAAGTTCTTCGCTTGTATCAAAATGAATATAGTCAAAGAATAGACTCAGTACATGCCACTTCACCTAACCAACCAACTACTACCAACATTATGCTCCAATTATGTATTGGCAAACATGTAAAGCATGACGATTCCCAGCAAACAGCCAAATGCATGGTTTCTAGATAATCCTAAAGAACTCAATTTAAATTTATGATGAGCACAACATTACATATTCTGAACTAAGGAAATTATGTTGAAAAAAAATTAAACCATCTCATTTCTAAATTTTTGGTATTTAAACAATTCCCTCAAATAGATTAAAGTAACACGCTGCAGGTCATGCAAGCTATTATCAAGACTTAAATCATAAGAGACTTAAATTTGAATACTACACATGTTCGGACTTCAGGATTATTTACTAAGACATCTTAGACGGTCAACATAGATATCATTTTTACTTTATCATTAGTAATAGTTATTTCTTTCAAGGAACTCACTTGTGTATTCCTCGTATCTCTCTTTGGGAATTTCTAGTTTGGGGGAAGCATGTTGGCGATTTAGTAGGCTGTTTTAAAAGAAATAAAATTATAGCATTGGTTGAGGCTAGGTTTTACTGGTCAAAGGATGTGACTAGGATTTTCATACATGCCATTTCTTAAGACATCTTAGCTGGTCACCTCATCAGCCTATTGACCATATCCCAACTCACAGACAAATGGTCAGACTAAAGTGGTTAACCATAATTGGAATATACTTGGATGTTTGGTAGGTCAAAAAACTGATAAATGGGACCTTTTTCTTCCCATATCCCAATTTTAATACAAGTCAACTAAAAAGAGTCCTTTTATGGTTATTCATGGTTCTTCACCCCGCCAACCTATTGACCTTATACCATTACCCTTGATTATAGTTTTCTAAACATAAATGTTGTGTTTGCCAAATACATTAGTGACATATATGTTGAACTTAGGCATCAAATCTCTTGACAATGATAATTATCTGAATGCTAACTACATCATAGAACCCAAGAGTTTCAAATGGGAGATAAAGCAACGGGTTGCAATTTCTTTTGAGAGATTTCCCAGAAATGTCAAAAAGAAATTGTATATCATGCCACAAGACCACACCATTCTTCATAGGCTTGGATCAAATGAATATTTCGTTGACTTGCCTAATGATTTAGCCATTAGTCCAATGTCTAATATGGCACACTTGTTTCCTTATGGAAGCACTTTTAAGCCTCCTATGGTTTTTTCTATTGTTTCTATTCCGTCTAGCTACACCTAATGAACCATTTGTTCCACCCATGGCTACAGATAAGATTTTGCATATTTTGGAAAATTAGTTTGTCACCTCATCCCATGGTGGAAATTGACATTTTTGTGTCCATTGGAAGTATAATTTTCTCAATGCTGATATTTGGCTTTCTAAAGGCGAGATTCATTCTCATTACCTTAGCCTTGTTGGATGATTATTTGTAGCGTCACTCATCGGAGCAAAGTTTTTTTCAACTAGGCAAATTGATGGAGATCTCCCTACTAAAGACTAGGTGTAAATGTTTGACACATACATAGGTTTTAGGTTTATTGTTTGTTTTTATTTAAATTTTAAGGATTTCAAATTCAATTAGGATTATCATTCTAAGCATATGAATAGGCCTTAGAGTTACGGAATGGCAGATTTTTTTATGCTTGATAAAGATTATTGTTACCTACCTAACTTTCTCTTTAGAAGTCTCTCATTTCTTCTCTAGTTATTTTTCTTTTCCTTCTTTTTGTTCTCTCTCTCCTATTTTCATTCCTTTCCTACATCACTTCTCCTTTAAAACCTCAACTTTACCATTTTCACACTTCTTTCAACTCTGACACAGCAGAAACCCATAATTTGTTGAATCTCAGCCAATAAATTAGCATGACATCTCTTAGGAATTGACATAATAACAATGTATTATTCATTACTTAGATTTCAGCGTTTGGCAGGGTTTAAGACATAGAACAGTGTTGTTTAAGCTTCCATTTTGTTTAAGGCAACTAAAATAATAAATTTTGGTAAAAGAAAATTGATTTGGAATATAGAGATGACTTACAAAATCAAATTGACTAGACTAGTGGTAGAAAAGGGCAAAATGGTAATAGAATCAAAAGAGTGGTCAAATATAGGGAGGGATTTCAATGGACTTAGTCTGGGACAGGTCTGCCAAGTCCCAAATTCAGAACTAGAAAAAAATAAAATAAAACAGAAGAAGAAGCAAGAATCAGACCCATCCTAGACCCATCATGGGTCAATCTTTTTTATCACAAACCCATGCCATTAGGGTCTAGCACTCATGCGTCCAGAGTTCCAAAGGTCAAATAAATTTCATTTACTTATTTAAAAAAAAAAAAAAAAAATTCTGCTCTTTTTGTCCAGGTCTAGGCATAGGTTTGAAATGGGACACCTAGACTAGGAGTGGACAAAAATATTGACCAACCAAACTGAACTTGAAAACCAAATATTTGATTCTGTTTTTCTGCATAGACAATTTTTTTTTATTATTCTTAATAAATATTCTACCACATGGCAATAAAGATACATAAATCAAATTTTCCCTAAACTAATGTTAATATATATACGTAGCAGTTTTTGTTTGTTTGTTTGTTTTTTAGTTTTTTAATGTCATGTTAATAGACATAACTTGTTTACTTTATACCGCTAATAGGTAATAAAATTTTAATTGACGATTATTGTAATTAAACAAATTTAACAAAAAAAAGAAAGCCCCAAAAATACTGATAAAACAAAACCGATAATTTTTCGGTTCAGTTTTTATTTAAACGGTAAGTTTCAGTTCAATTTTAAATAGAATAAGAGTATGTTTCAGTTTGTATTGGCCTAAAAGCCAAACTGAACGGTTTTTCCACCCCTACCCTAGACCCAGTCTTCGATGCATGAAAAAAAAACGCATAACCCACACCCGTCCCAAATCCATGATGGATCTATATTACACGCCAGCCATTTGAGGCAAGTTATACCAGCTAGAGTTTATAGGCCATAAAATAATGCAGCTCACTATAATTAACTTTGGACCATAACATTGTACAAGAAGTGAGTACACCTGAGACTTACAAGATTTGACTGTGGAATTCTGCAGCTCATACAACAATTTCCACGCTGCCTCCTATCCAAAAAGAAAAACTGAAATTTCTCAGTCAAGGACCTTTCAATATAAGTGATAAAGATCNCCGATAATTTTTCGGTTCAGTTTTTATTTAAACGGTAAGTTTCAGTTCAATTTTAAATAGAATAAGAGTATGTTTCAGTTTGTATTGGCCTAAAAGCCAAACTGAACGGTTTTTCCACCCCTACCCTAGACCCAGTCTTCGATGCATGAAAAAAAAACGCATAACCCACACCGGTCCCAAATCCATGATGGATCTATATTACACGCCAGCCATTTGAGGCAAGTTATACCAGCTAGAGTTTATAGGCCATAAAATAATGCAGCTCACTATAATTAACTTTGGACCATAACATTGTACAAGAAGTGAGTACACCTGAGACTTACAAGATTTCAACTCTGTGGAATTCTGCAGCTCGTACAACAATTTCCAAGCTGCCTCCTATCCGAAAAGAAAAACTGAAATTTCTCAGTCAAGGACCTTTCAATATAAGTGATAGAGATCAGAAAGGAGAATAAGATAGAGAAAGCAAGAAAGAGGAAAAGAAAATAGAACAGGAGAAAAACAAGAACTAAAGGAGAAACATAGAAATTGAGAAGAAAGTCATTATTATTGATCAATTTATACTTCAAGTCTATTGACAATATCCGGGCCTCTATTTATAGGAGGCAAAGCAACTAAATAGGAAATTACGTCAACACCAAATAGGAAAACAAATTAATTTAAGGTAAATCCACTCCTATCCAACTTGAAAAGAAAATAAAACAAACAATTAAATTAAATTAAATCCTAAAGAAATTACATTATATCCCAAAAATCTCTATCTTGTCATACACCAATTGCCCTAACTAAAACTAACTTCGAGTCCTAGTGAGTGTGCTAAAGAACAGGATTAATCAGGCATGTATTTTTTTTTTCCAGAAATGGATCAAGATTGGACTCTAATGCCAAATGACGGAGATAAAAAAGGATTGAATAAGATAGAAAAAGCAAGAAAAGGGAGAAATCTGAAGAAATAGAAAATTATTGGACTCTAATTCAGTAAAAAGAAATGGAGATTGAATTTAAGATTTTTGTGCAGAAGCATAATTGAACTTGGGCTCTAATGCCATATGATAGTGATCAGAAAGCATAGAATAAGATAGAGAAGACAAGAAAAAGGATTAGAAGAAATAGAAATGGGAGAAAAACAAGAAGATTCAAGGGAGAAACATAGAAGTTGGAGGGAAAGCCATCATTATTTATCAACTCATATTTCAAGAATAGCAACAATAATAATCTAGGCCTCTATTTATAGGAGCCCAGAGCAACTAAATAGAAAAGGAGATCAACCTAAATAAGGAAGTCCACTCCTATCCAACAAATAAGTAAATAAAGCAAACTATGAAAGAAACCCCTAACGTGTCCTACATCGATAAGTGAATTACAACAATGTAACCAAAAGCTCAAAATGCAAAAAATGATTACAGTCAAGTGAGATGAAGATACATTGTAGCTCTATTGTAAAAGATAATAAATCAATGAGTACTATGCTGTTTTACCAAATAGAAGTCAACTCAAACTCTAAAATTTGTCTTGAACTCCATGTTCAGTAATAAGGGAAGTAGGTTGATGGCTGCAAAAGACTAATGAAAGGTAAGGGTTGATGAAATAGCATTTGAGAATGTAATTATGGTTTTACAGAGCCGTTTGAACATCTATGTTGTATTTTATTTTCCAACAAAGAAAAAGTGAATCTGAGCAATACTATAAACAAGTAAAACTATAACAATGAATGACAGAGGAGAGAGACAGAAGAAAAAAAATCAAAGCAAATAAAAGGATTGATATAAGTAACATTGTTTTCAAACATTTATCTTCGAAGACGGAAGTTCTCAATCGAAGGAATATTCATCGACTCTACAATAGAATATTGCAGCCTATAGTAGATTGAATACTCCAAGAATAACAGATCTTGGTTGTAGCATCATCACAGTCCTAATCATAACTCGAATGCATGAGAAGCAATTAGAAAGGTTTGAAACTGCCTTTCCAATTCACTTATACAACAGTGAGAACAATTGTGGACCACAACACTTGAGACTAACACTTGCTCCAGCTCCAAGAGCAGCTGCAAGAGTAACCACTAAAGCAGTGAATTTTTACTAACAGGACACTGGTATTAACTAAGCTTATGATACTAATTAAAGTTTTCCAATGTTCTCTAACATGGATTTAGATGTGTCCAATACTAAGGATTTAGATATATAGTATATTATGCTCTGCATCACAACACATTACACAGTACAAAGAGTCTGATACAAATAACCCACCGAATTTTACGAAGCATTCTTACAATAACTTCAATAACACATTAATCAACATTCTGTAGACACCTGGACAACACTATTCCAACTACACAGCAACAATCCTTCCCTCCCAAAAAAAAAAAAAAAAACAAAAAACAAAAAAATAGAGATATAATAACAAAGAGAACCCACCATCACATATTGTTAACCCTATCACCACAATCACCACCCATTTATAAATACTGTTCCTCCCTATTGCTAAGATACCACAGTTCATAACAAACTACTAAATCCACAGTCAATCTCCTGATGCATGTGATAAAATATTTTTGTAGATTTAAGAATGGAATACATATTTACTTTAACACTCCCACCCACTTGTGATTGAAAATAGCAGCAAGTGCACACTACAGGGCCTAAGATGGGGCCTTCATACTGTGAACCAAGTTAATGAACAAAGTTTGCCCAAAACTACTCTTTCATGCCTGCAAACATGTTAGTAGATTAGAGACTGCTAGAACAGTATAAATACCTACCTAACACTCACCTCTCATGTGCATACCCCACATAGCTCGATACTAAATATATTGTAAAAAGGATAATGATTTGAACAAGGAGGCTCGAAAATAGATACAATCAAGCATTACAATGAGCCAAGAATGAAACATAGTCCACCCTGCTACAGTACCATGTCAACTCAAAAGCTTATGATTTTAAAGTAAACTGTTAGCTGATGAGCCAAATAACTCTTCCAAAAAGCTTTAATATAGACTTTTACTTCTTGAATAAGGGCATGAAATAAATTAACCATACCAGCAGCAGGATGTCGAAATTCAATTTATAAGACTATTAGAACAGCTAAAAATTTTAGAGTATACAAGTTAAAAGAACAATATGTGTATGTATGTATATATAGAGAGAGAGAGAGAGAGAGAAACACCTGACCAAATTGCGGCAAACTTTGTGTGTGAAGATCATAAGTAACTCCAGCAAATCTGATCATTTGTGCAGATTGTGCTAGTGAAGATTCTCTCATAGCAAATGTAACCTGCAAATTTTAGTTAAATGGTTCAAAATTTAGTTAGTAACTAAACAAACGAATAAAATTAATCTGAAAAAAAAGTAATGCAAGACACCATACTATAGTAACCACCATTTGGCATAATGTTTAACAAACATCTAGTCTTTCATTTATTCAAGGCATACATAATAAACCCCTTGCAACTATCCCAGATAACCTTGAGGTTTCAAAATTAACAGAGATAACATTGACATTATGAACCATTTGAAAAAAAAAAAAAATACACAAATATTGACGTCTGCAGATCAATAAAAAGTAAGAAATTTCCTATCGGGTTATCAAACATCTACAAAAGGTAATTTTATATGAGTTTATTAAATTAAAAACACAAATCCTAGGTTTTCTTGCAAACCATTTCTTTAATGCTTTCTTCTCTCTACAATGCCTTTCTTTTTTCTTCATTCAATTAATTTTCATCTTAGAAAAATTAAATCCAGAAATCATATCTTCAAGGTTCCATTATATGTATATAGCACACATCATGTGTAAATCAAACTGCGTTTCCTAAATTAGATTTCACACCTTGATCAACATTCTCTCATTTTGCATCATTCTTCTATAATCAAATATAAACTAACATGTCAGAGAAGGTACTTGAACAATAATGTAACATATTCATCAGGGTGCATACAAGGAAAATTATCACAAAAAGCCACTCAAGTTTGGCTTAAAACCACAAAAGGCTAGTACCATTTCTGAAAAGCAAAAATAACTTCTAAAAAGAACCTTACAAAGTAAGAAAGTAGTACCAATGGCAAAGGCATTACTTGAAAATCCAAGCATTTCCTATCTAAGTATGGCTAGTCCAAAAATTTTATTCTTTATTTATAAAAGAACATAGTTAGATTTGATTAATGCCATCGACCAGGAGAAATGGTTTCAACCACATAAAGAACTCATTGAGCACAACCATTGACAAATATATTCACACATGGGTGCAAACATTTAGAAATAATCTATGGAACAAAATACCAGTGTCGTGATCTACTATAGATATTAGTTATCAAGTATGGTAACATGAACAAAAAAAAAAAATAAAATAATAAAAACACTATAAACATGTAAATGTATAAAATGATGAAGCATGTAATTAATAATCCATCTATATTACTGTTGAAGTGTAAAATAGGTGATGAAGTGTAAAATAGGAAATAAGATTATTCTCTATATTAGGTTAGGAATCAGATCAATTATATTAGGAATGTTATTATCTTCTTCCTAGATTATAAACATACAAGAAAATATTTCTTCACATGGTATCCGAGCTTGGTGTTTGAAATTTCAAAAAAATTTCTCTCTTTCTCGGATTTTTTTTTCCGGCTACTGTTCTCTGGCAACGATCAGAATCTGGTCCAATCACACCGGACTGATCGTCTTCTCCTCGTCGTCCTAACCCGAGTGGTTTCGTCGTCGGCCGCCACTGCACGCGCCCTCACGCGCCGATCGTTTTTCCGGCATCCCCTCCTTCGATCTGTTTTTCCGGCAAGCGTGAGTTCTCACCACCACCGGCATCTTGTTCCTCTCCACCTTGCCGGCAAAACCCTTCAAGGTGTTTCCCTTAGCTTCTGCTCCGATCTGTTTTCCGGCAAGTGTACTGTTTTTCCGACGAGTGTTCAGTTTTTCCGGCAAGCGTAAGTTTCTGTGTTTCTGTCAGTTTCAAGACTTCATGGATTCTTCAAAAACAGCCTCTCCTTCGCATCCAAGTGGTTTTTCTTTGTATCTCTCCCTCCCATCACCACTAAGCGATTAATTGGGACTGCTAATTATTCATCATAGGCTGCCTCTGTCGAATTATGGTGTATAGGTCGAGGTCTGGAGGATCACTTGACCACCAAAGCTGCCGATATTACGTCAGATAAGTCTTCCTGACTAAAATTGATGCTATGCTGTGTAGTATGTTTAGCAAACTATTGATCCCCCCCTTCACCCTATTTACAAATCTTACCGCTCTGTGTTGATATTTGGAGTCAGGCTAAACTTCTTTATACAAATGACATTTAACTTTTATATTCTGTTGTGTCCAACCTAGTTCATCTCAAAAAACAGGATATGAATATGTCGGACTTCCTGGTAAGATAGCTTCCCTTAAGACAAATTCAATCTGCTGTTACCAGCTGATTAAATCTGCGGCAGAAGATTTGGCTCAACGGGACAAGTTCTTTATGGTCTTGACACTTGCAGCTCTAGGTCCAGATTTACACCTGTTCGAGATCAATTCTTTCTGGATCCACCGTACCTCCCTTGATGAGTGTTTGCCGATTACTTCGGGTTTTCTCCCTACTATTGTGCATTCCCCAAGTGACTCTTCGGTCCTTGTTTCTCAGTCCCACACTTTTCGAGAACAGGGCAATCGAAGTGGCAGAGGAAATCGGCCAAGTGTAGTTATTGTCATTGGTGGGGGCATACCAGAGAGAATTGTTTTAAGTTACATGTCGACCTACCCGAGCTGCTAATATTGCTCAGGCTGATCACTCTGATCTTCATTCTCAGTCCTCTACAGTGCCAGCTCAGCCCTCCTTAACTCTCACAGGTCCTGATTATGATGAATACTTACAGTATCAGGCCAGTAAGCAGTCTTCTTCATCCATTGCCTCGTCGCTCAAACGGGTAATTCAATTGCTTGCCTTTCTCAGTCTTCCGCTTTAGGACCTTGGGTCCTAGATTCAGCTGCCTCGGATCATATTTCTGGTAACCCTCGTTTACTTACTCAATTACAAATACTGTATCTTTAGCTCCTATTACTTTCCCAATGGGTCTAAAGCCGATGTTCAAGCTATTGGATGTGTAAAACCCCTCCCCTCCTTAGCATTAACTCTGTGCTTTATATTCCCAAATGTCCATTTAATCTCGTGTCTATCAGTAAACTTACCCACTCCTTAAATTGCTCTATTCCTTTTGATACGACTCTGTTGTTATACAGGATCGCGACACAGGATAGATGATTGGCACAAGACGTAACAGGTCTCTATCATCTCTATATCCCATCTACACATGCATTGTCTCTAGTCTCCGGATCTCCTTCATAATCATTTGGTCATCCTATTCTTCCAAACTTCAAAATAGATCCTAGGTCTATCTAAATTGTCGTCCTGAGTTGTGAGTCGTGTCAGCTTGGAAAACATACTCGTAGTTCTTTCCAAAGCGTGTCATAAACGGGCTGCGTCCCCCTTTGAGTTAGTGCATTCAAATGTGTGGGGTCCTTGTCGTGTTAACTCTACTTTGGGATTTAATATTTTGTTACAATTATTGATGACTATTCCCGTTGCACTTGGTTATTTCTTATGTGCTCTCGTTCTGAATTATTTTCCATATTTTCATCATTTTGTGCTGAAATTAAGACTCAACATAATACTACCATTCGTATATTACAAGTGATAATGCTCATGAATATTTTTCTGATTCCTTTACTAAATCATGACATCTCAGGGAATTCTTCATCAGTCTTCTTGTGCTTATAGTCCCCAACAGAATGCATGCTGAGCGTAAAAATAGACACCTCATCGAAACTGCCGCACTCTTCTTTTACATAACCACGTCCTTTTCCGGTTTTGGGCTGACGCGGTTCTAACCGCCTGTTACTTAATAAATCGCATGCTTTCTTCTGTCTTACAAGACCAGGTCCACACTCTATATTATTCCCTGATACTCCATTATTTTCTCTTCCCCCGCGTGTCTTTGGGAGCACCTGTTTTGTTCACTTTTCTCTCCTGTCAGGATAAATTGTCAGCCAGTCTACGAAATGTATTTTCTTAGGGTATTCACGTCTTCAGAAGAGCTACAAGTGCTATTCTCCCACCACACATCGCATTCATCTCTGCTGATGTTACGTTCTTTGAGTCTTCTCCATTTTTCCTCATCCAGTGGAGTCTGATCCGATAGTAGATGTTCTACCATCCATACGTTACTTTCCCACCTTCGTCTGTTTCGATACCTCAATCTAGTACTAATACCACTCTTCCTGTCGACAATAGTCATGTTCCTTTTACAGGTGATCCTGTGTTCCCGCTGCCGTTCCTGAGATCCCTGTCACTGTAGGTCCTGTGCCCGATTCCTCCAATGCCACGGTCCTATCTCCAGCTGATCAGTTTCCCATTGCTATTCGTAAAGGTATGCGGTCTACACGCAACCCTCATCCCTTCTACAATTTTTTGAGTATCATCGTTTATATCCTTCATATTATGCCTTTGTATCTACCTTATCTTCTGTTCTGTTCCTTGCACTGTTCATGAGGCACTTTCTCACCCTGGGTGGCGTCCAGGCAATGGTTGATGAAATGTCGGCTTTGCATCATAATCATACTTGGGAGTTAGTTTCCTTACCTCCTGGCCATTCGACTGTTGGTTGTCGGTGGATTTATACTGTCAAGGTAGGTCTAGATGGTAAGGTTGATAGGCTGAAAGCTCATTTAGTGGCCAAAGGATACACTCAGATCTATGGGACAGATTATTTTGACATTTTTTCCCCTGTTGCTAAGATGTCTTCCGTCCGGTTGTTCTTTGCTATGGCTGCCATTCGACACTGGCCTATGCATCAATTGGATATTAAGAATGTTTTTCTTCATGGTGAACTTCAGGAAGATATTTATATGGAGCAACCTCTTGGTTTTGTTGCTCAGGGAGAGTCTGGTTTGGTATGTAAACTTCGTCGTTCTCTATATGGCCTCAAACAGTCTCCTCGTGCTTGGTTTGGACAATTTAGTACAGTTATTCAAGAGTTTGGTATGATTCGATGTGAGTCTGATCACTCTGTTTTCCATAGACATACATCACCAGGGCAATGTATCTATCTGGTTGTCTAGGTCGATGATATTATCATTACAGGGAGTGATCAAGATGGCATTGGACAGTTGAAGCAACACTTGTTCAAACACTTTCAGACGAAAGACTTAGGGCTACTTTAATACTTTCTTGGCATAGAAGTCGCTCAGTCTAAATCTGGTATTGTTATATCTCAGAGGAAGTATGCACTGGATATTCTAGAGGAAACAGGAATGTCAGATTGCAGACCAATAGATTCTCCTATGGATCCTAATTTGAAACTCTCCCCTGGACAGGGGGAGCCTCTTGCTGAGCCTAGAAGGTATCGAAGACTTGTTGGAAAACTTAACTATTTTACTATCACCCAACCTGATATTTCCTTTTCTGTTAGTGTTGTAAGTCAGTTCCTTCAAACTCCATGTGATAGTCATTGGGATGCAGTTGTCTGGATTTTAAGGTATATCAAGGGAGCACCAGGTAGGGGCTTACTGTATGAAAATAAGGGCCATTCACATATTATCGGATATTCAGATGCTGATTGGGCAAGATCTCCATCTGATAGACATTCTACCTCACGTTTTTGTGTCCTTGTTGGAGGAAACCTAGTTTCATGGAAAAGTAAGAAACAAGCGGTTGTTGCAAGGTCAAGTGCTGAAGCAGAGTATCGTGCAATGGCCATGGCCACTTGTAAGCTTGTTTGGTTAAAACAACTAATTCAAGAGTTGAGATTTTTCAAAGTATCACAAATGAAGTTACTCTGTGATAACCAGGCTGCCCTTCATATTGCTTCAAATCCAGTGTTTCATGAGAGGACTAAACGCATAGAGATAGATTGTCACTTTGTTCGAGAGAAAGTTCTATTAGGGGATATTGCAACTAGTTATGTCAGTTCCAACGACCAATTAGCAGACATCCTCACTAAGTCTCTTAAGGGTTCTCGTGTTAATTTTATTTGTAACAAGCTTGGTGCATATGACTTTTATGCTCCAGCTTGAGGGGGAGTGTTGAAGTGTAAAATAGGTGATGAAGTGTAAAATAGGAAATAAGATTATTCTCTATATTAGGTTAGGAATCAGATCAATTATATTAGGAATGTAATTATCTTCTTCCTAGATTAGTTTTTTGTTTTTGCTATAAACTCATTGTACATCTCATTATGAACATACAAGAAAATATTTCTTCACAATTACCATATGCATGCAAAACAACATAAATAATTAAAACAATGATAATAGCAATAACTACAAAACTAGTTCCTCAACAAAAATGATTATTCACTTACTTCTACAGAATTTCAATGAATCAAGCACCACAGTTTTTATTGTAAGTTATTGGATAGCAATCAGTTATACTTTTAAAAGGAAGTGAATAGGTATGCAACAATAAAGAGGCAACCACATGTCATAGATTTATAGATATATCAATAGTCAATCATGGCCAAGGGAAGTGGTGATCAGAAAAACCTGCAAAGAAGTCCCACCAAGTTCAACTATCCCAATGGTCTCTTGAGGCTCACCTCCCAGGGTTCCAAGAGCATAGTTTGTAGCAATCCAGGCATACATACCTTTTTCTTGCCCTGCAACATAATAATATTTATACATCATTCATCATTGGTGGTTAATTGTTACTTACAAGACAAACACTTAGCTTCTTGATTAAACAGAAAACTTCTAAAAAAAGAGAAAAAAAACTATTCAAAAACAATAATTGTTGAGTATATATAGAAAATAAAATCACAAAACACCTTTGAATAACCATTATTGAGGAGATTTGAAAAAGATTATGGAACTAAGCAAACAAAGTGTTAGTCTTTATAAAAAAGATGTAAGCAAAAACCTAAACGTTGAAACAATTTAACTTTTTTTTTTTTTTTTTTTTCATTTTAGGAGCATCGTGGCATAGTGACAAAAATCAAAAACTCATACACTTGAAGAAAATGTGAAACTTGCAGGTAACTATAATCCATCCGAATGCAATAAAAGCATATAAAAATAATAAGTCCAACACTGGCTTCTTCTTATCTCCACATAGTTTTCCAAATTTCTTGGCCAGGAAACAAGAAAAATTGTATTAAAAATAAATAAATAAATAAACAGATATAGAATGACTAAGCCTATAAATGTTTCAAAAACTATACAAGAAAAAAGTCAGCTCAAATCTCTAGACAAATGAAACCCCAGCCTAAAAGTCTAGAAAAGTCCTCTACAATTAGACTATTGAAGCTTCCCAACTTTGGACAATAAAGAAGAAAGAAACTTCCTTGAATTTTGAGGACATAGCTGCCCATAGAGAAATTCATTCTCCATATCTTCAAAAGCTCTTTTGTTCCTTTCTAGCCATAAAACCTAGAAAATATACAATCCCACAAAATACCAACTTTCCTATTGCCCTTTGTAGCTATATGCCTTTCCACCGGTGCCAAGTAGCAGGACGAAGGTGCCCAAGATAAATTAAATCCATTGACCAAGTTGTCAAGCATTAAACAAAGAGGCACTGTAGAAAATGATGGTCAGCGATTTCACAATCATTCTTGCATAAGTTGTACCAATTTGGGGATAAATACATAAAGGTCTTCTTCTTTGAATCATGTTATTTGTGTTGATTTTTCTAAGTGTTGCAATCCAAGCTAAGAATCTAACCTTGTTTTGAACTTTAGCTCTCCAAATCACACTTGAAGCCTCAAAAACAGAGACATTGAGAATCACTAAGGCTATGGAAATTAGAGTGACACCCTCCAATAGATGGAAGAAATCAGCACATTGTCGACACTCTTTGTCGTTTAAATCTCTAAAGAAATGAAGATTCCAACCCCCTGAGATGATGAAGAATCCACCACATTAGCAATATTGAAACTATGCCTAGCTGACATCCTGTATAACCGAGGGAAAAGACCAACAAAAGCTGCCTCAGCAAGCCATATATCTTCCCAAAATTTTGATGTTCTGCCCACTGCCAACAACCAATTTTATGTTAGAAAGAAATAAGCTACTTCCATGGGAAATATGAGTCCAAGGACATCTACAAGAGCCCCTAATAATATTTAGTGTCTCATCCCATATAATGGATCCCATACATGCTTTTGATTATTGAATGCCAAAGAGAGTTGGCTTCCATGTAGTCTTCTAATGCCAACTAAATACCGCACTTATTTAGCATTTAAACACAATAACAAGAAATGTTAGACTAACCTCTTTTTTCTTGATGTCATGTTGAATTGGAGTGAGAACATTTTGCTAAACATATAGTCTATAATCGACTCATCTTAGAAATAAGAGCATCATAAAAGAGTGTCAAATAATATAGACTGTATAGGACCAAACTATACAGTATCACTAGAAATACCTAAGAATTGCCACCTTCTTGTTGACAATATGACAGGCAATCCATTCTGTCTTTGGAAAAGACAAACCATTCCCCCAGTTACATAGTCTGCTAGTTTTGGATACCAATCCTGTTATTTAGTTAAAACGAACTGCTTTGAATCACAATGGTTCACATCTAAATGGTTTCATAACAAAATTTACATTACTAACAAAAAATAGGTTTTACCAACCTCCTAAATTTAGCTCTCTAATCAAAAGTCAAACATTTGGAAGTAACAATGCGTTCATTTAACTAACAACAATAAGAGAAAAGAATGTCCAAATTAAGAATGGCAAAACCTTCAAGAACACGGGACCAAGCGTCCTTAAAAGCAAAACCAGAGGCTCTCAAAACCCGGCGACATTGTTCCAGAACCCGATCTTCCGCCGCATTATTCAGCATCAACTGCACCCTAGTGCTAGCCCACTCCTTCTTGGGCACCCTCTTTTTGGCAAAGCCAACCAATACTTGAATCGAACGGTCTAAATCCCCTCTGGCCTCAGTGGAATCAACAAACGGCATCTGTCCGTCGCCAAGGAACTTAAAAACACGAAGGCGGGCGGTGGCGAGGCCCGAATCGATGACAATGCCGTAAAATTGCACATTGGGCTCCACGAATTTAGCAGATTGGTGGAGTTTTCGGGCAGTGGAGAAAAGGCAATAAAGGGAGGGGATTGTGAAGAGAGACGCTAATAGGAGGAGGAGTTTGTTTCTGTTGCTGGTGACTTTGAAATTGGAATTGGGATTTGGATTTGGATGGTGCACGCGAGGGTGTAGCTGCGTACGGTGAGGAGGAATGTAGGGAGTGTTAACTCTGGATTGGAGCTTTGAGAAGTCCATTGAAGAATGAATCGGAGATTTTTGTTACATTTGGATTTCAATTTCAGAGTTAACTCCCCGGCCATCCCAAGTTTCAATTTAACAAAATCTAGCCTTGAAAATGTTTTTCGTTTTTTTTAAATTTAGAGAAGTTGACGTGGCATAGTTAGGATTCATTAAACATGTAAAATAGGTTAAAATAAAAAGATTAAAACATATATGTAGTTAGGATTCATTAAACATGTAAAATAGGTTAAAATAAAAAGATTAAAACATATATGGGAAAAATCATAATTAATGAAATTTTTTTAAAATTTGAAATTTAAAAGTTCGCCCCACCCCTTCAAATCGCTTAATCGAAACTGATTAAGGCAAAAATCGATTTCTTGAACCTTAAACAGAGACTATGCGATTTCCGATCAAAACAGCAAATTTTCACACCAAATTCAATCCTAAAATCGATTTCTTGAACCTTAAACGGAATCTCTGCGATTTCTGGCGATACAGTCCATATTTCCGATCGAAATTGCAAATTTTCACACCAAATTCAATCCTAAACCATGGCTGACATTCACAATGAGGACGAAAACCCAACGCCACTTGGAATCCTAGAGTCCGGTGGCAATAGCAGTTCATGTTAGAGTAAATGCCCTAGAGCCAATCAATTATTGTAGAATTGACTCTTTGTAATAATGTTCATTAATCAATAATAAAAAGCATTTTATTCTATATCGTGTAAATCATTATTATTGCAATATGTATTGATATATGTCCTTAGAATGGTAGAACCGTGACGAGGGTATCAAGTGTTTCAAATCTTAATAGTGAGAACCGTATGAGCACATATGGTGGCCATTCTAGAAACATCTGTAGCCCCAGTATTATACTGAAGTAAGGGCACAGATAATACGGTAAGGCTATCATAGTGTTGAACGACCCTGCCGAAAGGCAGTGACTGATTTCGCTTGTCAAGGTTGTTTGGTGACAACCTGGTGCAACACATGGGTGCTTATTGTAGGTGAATACACCACAGCAAGTTTACTGGACTGACTCACCAGAGGATTCCATATGGATGGTAACCCTAGTGTCTATGGAACAAATCCTCTAACGAATGGTGGTGCATGTGATCCTTAGACTTGAGATCACCGGAAGGCCTTGTGCACTGATTGGTGTAGTTTGACACTAGCCTAACATAGTTCTTTTCAGAGTTGTCAATACGGTGGTGATTGGCTACATTGAGGAGTGTATCAAGACTATGGTGGATAGACAGAGGATTCATCACTCCCGGGTACGAGAGAAGTTATCTCACGGAGTAATTCAGTAAATGGCAATGACACTAAAACTGTGGCAACAGTGAGATTGAGTTGTTGCTCTATCCAGATTATAATACAGGTCATTGGTCCAGTAACTGAATACATCATATCGAGAGTAACCGAAGGTTGACACTATTTTTATGTCTTCGTCTCGTCGAGATAACGAATGATGAAAGGATCAAATTGTACGGTAACCATATCGTTGACAGGTAGCTACTTTGCTAAATCTGAATCTATCGGATGGCCATGATGTCTTGCTAGGGGCTAATCTTGGTCTGTGTATTAGTGAGACGATTAATTTGTGTTAATCGCGATACTATACGTTACCGGTATGATGAGGAGTTTATGGGTTACACACATAGAAGATAATTTAAGAGCCAAAAAGTTAGAAGGGCGTTTTCATCTTTTTAGGGCGAAAGGGTATTTCGGTAATTTCATAGTGCAATTAAATTTGCTGAGGTCGTAGCCTTTATTTAATTTATTAGAAAAATTAAATAAGTGAAATTACGTTTAAATGTGTGTTCCCATATATTTAAATAAATTATCTTTATTGTTAAATGTTAATATATATATTAAATATATATTAATTAATTTTAATTGAGATAATGATGAATAAAATAAATATCTAATTGGGAGTGTTTGGAAACAATGGGTGTTTGGGTTGAAGCCCAAGCCTATTCTATATGGGAATAGGGCAAGTAAAATATTACTATAAAAGAAATGTTTTAATTGTAAAAGGGTGTGATTTTTCATTTAACTCAATTCATAGAAAAGAGAAAAACCTACAGCCCCTAAACACTCTCACTCCATATTTGGGTTTTTGCCTAAAATCAATTACCCTTCATTTCTTCTTTGTTCCTAAGGCTAAAGAGGGATCTAGCAAATCCCTCATTAATTTCTTGTGATTGTCTTCGTGTGGACTACCTCGGTTCGACCCTACACTTAGATCGGTAGCAAAATACATTCAGAGACAAATTTGGAGGAGCCTCCAAACGTGCGTATGATTTCTTAAACTCTAGATTAATTTTTTGTAGATTCTTATTTTGATATAAACTGTAAAAATTGTACCCTGATCTTGGTTCTATGGAACGATCCTTGTTATTATTGTTTTTGTTTTCTGCTGCCTAATGGATCGTTTCCTAACAGTGGTATCAGAGCCTAGGGTACCCGATTTTACAGTTTTATGTGGATGGTTGATTACATGTATTTGATTGATAATATGTTGCCTTAAAGAATCTGCGTAAAATCTTGCCTTAAAAGCATGTTTTAAGAAATCAATTAATCGATTAATTTTAATTGGTTGATGATCTGCAAGTTTGGTATATTGGGTGATGGATTTTTGTTGAAATCAGTGTGTGTGATTGATTGCAAAATCCGTTTGGTGTGTTTTTGGTTACTGTATGAACTGATCCGGAGCTACAGATCAGTGCACGCTCGGCGTGCATATTTGGCATTCACGCTGATTAGAAAATCAGTGCTCGCCGCAGCGATAGAAACCATCGTCGCGATGATCGTCCTTAGGACGAGCGCTATACAAAATCAGCACTCGTCGCGTCGATATAACCCATCGCCGCAGCGATCGCACGTAGAGTGTGAACATCAAGTTAACCAATGCACGCTGCGGTGATCTAACTCATCACCGCAGCGAGCGCACTTCCAAGTGCATAGGGGCCAGATTGTAAAGTTTTAAAACTTTTGGACCAAATGTAGCTCTGTAAATTATCAGGGGGTACTATAATTAACCCACCAATTTCAAAAATTGATTGTTTTTTAAATGTATGTTATGTACTTGTTTGTATATTGTATGGTGCCCGGTACATGAGCCTTAGACCTATGGTGAATGTTTTAAATTTTTTTTTGGTTATGTATGGTTGTAAATTTATTAAATAGGGTATGCGTGTCCTATCTTTCTCCTCTTCTCAATGTACATTCTCTTCTCATCTCATTCCCCTCGAATGTAAATCGAGGTTTCTAAATTTATTGATGTAAAGAATATTGTATAATTATTCTTATTGTAAATTTAGAATGATGTTTTTGTAATGTACCTGGAGACGGAGCGAAGGACGAGGCAACCATACTTGAAGACTCAAGATATTTGTTACAGGATCCCTAGGTGACCCACCGATCCCTCTAGGCTCGAGGAGATCGGTTTTAGTTAGGCCATGTACCGGCACGTTTAATATTTTGTTTAGAATGCATGCTAAGGTTGAATGTTGAATAACATGCCAAACAATGTCATTCTAACAAAGATAATAATCTGATGAGACATTAAATAACAAACCCCTCAACTAAGTATATTAAGTCACCTATGCCTTCCATCACCATGGTTTTAATCAAACCACTGTTCGTCGAAACCTTGTTCGCCAAAGCGAAGGGTACACTTCTACCAGTGGGAGGTTAAAATTCATTGGAGTTTTCCTTAATGGTGATGGGTCGACTTAAAATGACGGTTTTGCTTGTTCGCCAAAGCGAAGGTTGATAAACGCGTCATAGGCATAGTAGAGCAGTACACATATTATGTGTACGTGGTGACATGTAGTGTCCACTCTACTGATACTGAGAATCACACTTGAGGACAATGGTTGGAGCCATTGAATTGTGTGATTGGCTTGTTGGCTTTTTCACATTTGAGGTTGATAGTGGGAGCTATCAATTGGTGTGGATTAAGTTTGTTGGCCTACCTAATCAACCCATTTTGGCTTGTTCGCCAAAGCGAAGGTTTGAAATGGGCAGGATGGGATCTCGGTCCACTAGGAAAGCCAACGGGCTTTCCCGAGTTAATAGTGAGGGCTATTGACTTGAGTAAAATAGTGGGAGCATCGTTTAATAAAAGACCATATTAAATAATAATGAACTTTATAATAACTTTATCTTTTCTGCAATTGTAGATTCACCGAAAATGAGCATTATGAACCTGCGACCGATAATCGAAAAAGAAAACAGGTTGGATGGATCCAATTTCTCAGACTGGTATCGTAATCTTCGGATTATACTTAAGTCAGAAAAGAAATTGTATATCCTTGAAAAGCCATACATGGCTGAGCCTGATCCTGATGCCACTCAGGAAGTAAAGGATACTTATCAAGAGTTCCTTGATGATGTTGATGGCATTCAATGCTTGATCTTAGCATCAATGACACCTATGCTGCAAAAGCAGCATGAGAATATGGACACTTCTTCCATTATTCTACACCTCAAGGAGCTTTTCGAAACAAATGCTCGACATGAGAGGTACAAGGTGTCGAAAGCATTGTTTGGGGGTCGTCTGACTGAGGGAGCCCAAGTTGGTCCCATGTGCTCAAGATGATCGAGCACATAGAGAGGCTTGAGACTTTGGGATGTGGCTCAGATGCAGAATTACAAATGAATTTAATTCTGCAATCCTTTCCTAACTTTTATGTTCCATTCATAATGAATTTCAAACAAAATGAACACGATGGAGAAAACCCTGTCATAACTTTTGAACATGCTAAGGACTGCAGAGCAGGACTTGAAAAAGTCCAAGCCTATTTTACTAGTTGCTGCCGATAAAGCAAAGGGTAACGGCAAGGGTAAGGCCAAGGCCAAACCCAAGCCCAAGCCTAAATGACAGGTTGCTCTTGGGCCTGAGAGTGGCATAGGGAAGGGCAAGGTAGTCTGTTTCTTTTGTGGCAAGCCTGGCCAATGGAGGAAACACTGTAAGGCTTTCCTCGCAAGCAAGAAGAAGTCAAATGCTACGACTTCAGGTATTTTTATGATTGAGATTAATTTTTCTCCCTC